AGGGGAGGAGGGGGGGGCGGGACCCCTGGACGTCCCCCGGCCAGGACAGGGAGGAGCGATTCTGAAGGGACGCCCCCCCCCTCCCGGGGCAGGGCAGGGCAGGATGGGGCAGTTCTGGACGTCTCTCGAAGCCGGGCGCCCCCTCTCTCCGGCTGTCTCCCGGGATTCGGGAACAGCCCGGCCCGCGGAGGAGGAGGAGGCTGGATCCGAAGATTGACGGGGGGGGAAGGGAGACTTGAATCTGTCCTCCGCCCCCCGGATTTTGCCGAGATCGCGGATGCCGGGAGCGGGCTCGGCTCCGGATCCCGCAGGGAGGGGGGGCGATCCGGGAGACCCATGGGCTGAGGGCCGCCGGGGATCAACCTCCGGAGATGGGAATGGGGGGGCGGGGAGGAATCCAAACCGGCATGCGGGGAAAAGCGACCGGAATCCATCTCCCGGCTGCTGGAGCAAAACTCCGGACCGCTGGCCGGGGAAGGCAGGGATCGGAACCGAACCGGAGTGCCGAAAGCTGGCCCGGCTCGGATTTTCACAGCCTCGGCTCCCATTTTTTTTTTTTCCCCCTTCCGGTTTTCCCTGTCTCCTGAGGCGGATCCGGAGTTTTTAATCACAACCGTGGTCCTGATCGGCTCTTTTATTTATTTTTTTGGGGGGTCCCAGTTAGCGGTAAGGGTGGGCTGGGCCTTGTCGTGCGTTCCGCCTCGTCTGGGGGAGGGGGGGGGCACAGCCCGGACTCGAACCCGCAGCGCCCCGGGCTCCAGGGTGGTGCAGTCCAGGCGTGGCGGGTTCGAGCTGTGTCCTTAGCCACTCGCGGTGGCACTCCTGAGGAGGAGGAGGGACAGTGGTGCGATAGCGCCCCCTGTGGGACCCTGTGGGCACCCTCCCCTGCAGGGAGGTGTTGAGCGGGCAGGACAGTGGGTGTGTCGGTGAGCCGGGGGACGCGGGCATGACGATTCCCGGGTTGCTCAGCACGGCCGCCTTCGCAGCTCCAGGGGGGGTCCCGGGTTCGATTCCAGCTGCGGTCCATCCTTCTGCGGGGAGTTTGCATGCTCTCGGCGCGGGTTTCGCAGGAGCGCCGGAGCTCAGGAGGCTCGAGATGGTCCTTCTGCGTGGCCCAGCAATAGATCGATCTGTGGGGAGAGAGGGCGGGGGCTCCGAGCCCCA